CCTGAAAGATACCCAGCTGTCCTTAACCAGGGGGCAGGGCCTTTTCAGCCTTGACCCCGGCCTGGTGAAACTCTCTGCATGGTGACAACCATGCCCTGGGGGGACCTGGCACAGTTCCACGGGGCCTGCAAGAAGGAGACGTTCCACCAGGCCTGCCGTTGAGGACAGCAACGGTTCACCATCAAGCCTGGCCTCCATTTCTCACCCTCCCCCCCCTCCATCGGGAGGGCACAAACGGACACCAGACACCTTCAGATGAACATATTGTTGCCCTGTAGTGAGATGAACATATTGTTGCACTGTAGTGAGCATGCTTCGGCAGGGAGGGCGGGATATAAAATAAATAAATAAATAAATAGTTGTATTGAATTTGTTTAAACTGTTTTATTTATTGATACACTGTTATATGTTGTACACCGACCTGAGCCCTCCAAGGGAGGGCAGTTTATAAATTGAATTAATCAATCAGTCCATCTCTGTGGAAGCCGCCGGGGAGTATCTGAAGAACGCTTAACTCAATGGCACAGCCCTCTCCACAGGTGCTACTGCCCAGCGTTTCAAACCTTAGTATGTTTAGTTAAAGAGGGACAGTTAGAATGTCTAGGAAGAAACTTTATGTGGCAGATTGGAGAGATGAAACCAGAAGACAATAATGGCCTGCATGCACCAACAGCCTGATTTAATATTAAACAGCTTAAGGTACTCCTCTTCCCTCCATCATGACCTGGAGGACGTAACCAACCATAAGCCTTTTCTTTCATCACTGCCTCACCACTATAAGGATAATATTGACCTACCTTACAGGGCTGTTGTAAAGAATACTAAGAATCTTCAGCAAGAAGAGATCCTAATCCCACTGTGGAGACCCTTAAAGGGGGGAAAGGTACTCATGTTTTAAACAAAGTATTGTTAAATAGCTGCTCACTGCAGTACAGAATCTAGCACCACTTCCCCTCCACTCTTCTTCATTCTGTCCTAAATTTAACAAACACAGGCCTTTCTGAAAGGTAAGAGATTACGCCAACAGAATTTCATGTTGCACAGTACGGAAAAAAAACAAACTGGCCAGCTGTGAGCAAACTTCTCCGCAGAGCCGTGCTCCAGTGTTTTAACAACCTGCTCCTCCTCAGGTCTATATAAGTAACAGATACCAGGGCTCAGAGCCAGGCAAGGCATTTTTACTCACAGGCTGTTTGGCCACATATTTCATATTGTTTGACAAAGGTGGGGCTAACCCACACACCTTTTACTAGGCACCTGAATCACTTTTAGAAGCAGCCCTGTATACAATGTGGTGCCTTCTTCTCCCCTCTCAGGTGCCCCAGTCTCCTTTGTCTTACTTGTTCCTTGAGAATGTATTGCTCAAATGAGCATCTAGTCTGTCATTGAATAAGCAGGAATATGTTAAGTAAAGGCCTTTCCTTTCCAGGGTCATTCTAAGTTCAGCAGCTCTGAGCAGTTGTTAGGACAGGACTAGAAGATACTGACTAGCCAAAGGGCAAATGTCAAGAGAGCTTTTTCTAGAATAGAAAACAGGGCCAAGTGTTGGAAGAGAAGGACCAGACACTGCCTCTTAGCCTCAGCCTCAGAGAGTCAGATAGATAGACAGGCAAACTATGAGTTTTCTTCCTGTTTACTCTTCTGCCTCTGTCCCTTTGATGTGTAGACTGATACTCTCAGGGAACTGCTTCCTTCCATGCTCTCCATCTTTGGCATCATAGATGCAATTTGCATCTGCATTCATCCAGGTAGTTAGAATAGTTAGATTCTATTCCTGTCTCTCATCTATCCTATCTAGAATGGAGTTCACTAAATAAAGAACACTTTATTAGTTTGAAACTGACAAGTGGCTCTGTGTAACTCTGTAACTTTGACAGCACATGTAGAACAAAGAAGCTCTGCTGCATGTAGCCTGTTTGTGCAGTCTGCTAAATTTATACAGATTCCTGGTTTACCATACCAGTGAATCTAACAGGCCATAGTGCCCAGTAAGTTCCAAGCTGAACAGTTGTTAGGACAGGGCTCGGAGATACCAACCAGCCAAAGGACAAACGTCAAGAGAGCCTTTTCCAAAATAGAAAACAGGGCCAAGAACCTGACAGCCTGTAGCTAGAGAATTACATACAATATATGGCACTTCTAGAGGCCACCATCTTCTTAGCTGAAGATAACCAGTGTCCAGGGCCAGCTACTGCCCCCAACCTAGGCCCCTCCCACAGGCAAGCTGTGAACAACCCAGTGCCCAAAGGAAAGCCAGGAGCAGTAACCAGGTTGGTGGGGGCAGGCAGGAGAAGGCCCAAACAAGAAGGGGCCCCCACCACTGCTAGAGTGGAGGCTGGAGACATGGACAGTCAGTGAAGGCCAACAGCTAGAAAGGGCCAGGGTATGAGGGAGATGGAGCCTGATACTTTTAAAACCCAGGAGGCAGAGCAAAGGATAGGCAGCCTTGAGAGCGGGCACCCACCTTCTTTTTATCACTTCCAGGAAGAGGCAGGACCAAAGCCAAGGGTGGTGCAAAAGAGAGGCTTCCAAGCCAGGCCAGGGAGGGGATGGACCAGGGTGCCTGAATCCCCTCTCCTTTCCATTTGTCCCATCCAGAATGGCAGAGGACAGGCCAGCCAGCACAACGAAGTAGGAGCCTTACAGCCAGCATGTTAAGAGCATATATTTATCATTAATTTATTTATCATTAAATTTCTAGCCCACCCTCCCCGCAAGCCCATCCAAACAAGTGAGTGGGCTGCCTCAACATAGTTGGTAAGAAAAGGAGAAAAGAAAAGAAAGAGGCAAAGCACGCCAGCCCAGTCCCTCCTTCTGGAACAGCTTTCTGACAGCTGTTTAGTGCCCATCCTACCACAACTATGCAGCTACTTGTACTATTTATTCCTTTCTTTATTTCTTATCCCACTTTTCTCCCCAGTGGAGACTCAAAAAGACTTACAAAAATTCCAATATAATTTAAAGTAATTAAATAAGATACCAAGCTAATTTGGTAGAATGAATTATTTGTTATTTGGATGAGAGACTCAAGTGCCCTGCATAATGAATAGAGAAGTCCCAAGTTATTTAATCTTCAAGGCTGGAAATCCTGAAATTCTCCCCATCATGGTCATGATTTTTTTAAAAAAACCTAAATAAAATGTGATAAGCTTACTACCCCTTTCATTGAACTCCAAATCTGCTGAGTAAGGCAGATTCCATCATCCTGTCCAGAAGCCACATTCTAGACCAGACCCCAGATGCATCCTTGCTTCAGGTCACCCCAGTGTGGCTTGCTCACATACATTTGTTGTTCAGTCGCACAGTCGAGTCCGACTCTTCGCGACCCCATGGACAAGATCATGCCAGGCCCTCCTGTCTTCCGCCATCCTCTGAAGTTTGCTCAATTTCATGTTCGTTGCATCTATGACACTGTCTAACCATCTCATCCTTTGCCATCCCCGTCTTCTTTGACCTTCAATCTTTCCCAGCATCAGGGTCTTCATACATACAACTCCTTCAATGTTGGCACCTCCATTTCTGGAATTCCAATCTGTGCTCAGTTTGGGCATAAATATCATTTCAGTCACCCTGGTCGTTAATCACTATTGTCCTATGGTCTCCATTCTGAAGTGATGGCAGGCTGTTCACATGAAGATGGAGTGGCATCACAATTCTCAAGCTTCAGTAACCCAAGGAGCCCCATTTTGATCTCAATATTTCCCACAAGCCTATCAACATCTACTGCAGAGTAAACACAAATAGATTCCGCCAATAGTGGCACCACTGTAGACTAAAACACATGTTTCACAAGTGTTTAGCTCCCTATGTGTACATGTCCCTTATACTTTTGTTCATCCTTCTCTCTAGCAAAAGAAGCTTTTGTTGTTACCCATTCAGAGGGGCTTTTGCCTTGTTAGTTTCCAAACTGCAGTGGAGCTGGGGGTTGGGGGTAGGCAGTTTTCCTTAGATGTTGCTTCTTTTTAAAAAAAATGGAAGCTGGGAATTCAAAGGAACTAGATCATAGCAAGAGTTCATCATAATATTATTCTGCTTCAGACAATAGCAATCACCCTTAAAAAAATAAAAGCCCATAAAAAGCCCTATGCTGGTGAACTAGGGGGAAATGCAAGGAACATGGCAGCTGAATTCATACAGAACTCCCATGCAGATATTTTGTTGACAGTGCAAATATCCCTGCATTTGTGGTAACGAAGACAGGAAATGAAGAATCCTTGTTGTGTGGATGCAGCCACTGTAATAACCCAAGAATTGTACTGATACCCTGCACTATGCCGGCCTGGGCTATTGGTGTCAGCTTTTGCCCACTTGCCCAGTATTTTGGTTCATCCTAAGCACACATACAAGGAGTATCCTGGGAGCATCTGTTAACTGTTTGATTGCCATCTTGTTTAGCTGTGCCATCTGTGCTTATATAGATTTTTACTGTAATTATGTTTTAGTTGTTTTATATGTCTGTTGTAACCTGCCCTGAGCTCTGCGTGCAGGGGTAGGGTGGGCCTTTTTAAAAATAAATACATACATACATACATACATACATAAATCCTGATCACTTGGTGCAGCTACAAGCCCACACCAAATCTGGAAGAGTGGAAGGTGAAGTCTTTATTTTACTGTTTTGCACACAGCATAGACAAGGGTTTGATGGAAGGTGTAGGAATTAAACTCCAGAGGGTAAAGTGAAAAGAATAGTCTACAGGAATCCACCAGCAAGTTAACTCAAAGCTTTTTATTATACAAATTTGGATCTCCTTTTATATAACAGTTTTTAAAAAGGAAAAATACATTTAAGAGATTACCAGTTTCCCCCATGCCACACACTGTATCTGTCCTAAGGGGGAAAGAAAAAAATTAAGCTAAAATATATAATGTAATTTTTTTTCCTGACAAGGTAAAATACAACAAGGAATACAGTTGCTTATAACACGCATCCCCAAAGTAATCCAACAACACAGCAAATCCACCCGTAAAACTCTCTGTTAAAGGACGTTCAAGGGTTTTTAAGAAGATTTCCATCTCAGTAATGAAAAAATCATATGGATCACATAGGTCAACGTGGCTGCAAAGGCAAAGACCTAGAGAAGAGGAGAGGTACATTTAGCATGTTGACTAGGTTGACTAGGTAAGCTAGTTCACATGTGCATCCAAATTGCCATTTCTCTCCATGCAATGATCCTCCAGCATACCACCCTCCTCACGGCCCCCCTTACTGCCTCTCACGTCTTCACATCTAGGAAGTGCAATCTCTCTTCCCTCAAATTCCTCCTTCTCCCTCCCTTTTTTGCTTAGCTGAAATGCATCATAGCGCCTTCATTCTAATCTTTTCCTCCTCCTTGGGTCACGTGTTTGTCTCTTGTAATGTACACTGAGGAACAAATCCAACAGTACACTGGGACTTCTGTGTCTGGAGCTCCAAGCACATAAGAGCCCAGCTTGAATCAGGAGCTTGGCACAAGGGCAGAGAGAGGGAGTTAAGCCTCTCCCTGCATGGTTTTCCCCAATCTAAAAAAAAAGCTGGGCAGCTGGTGTTTGCTCCACTGAGGAAACACGTCAGTACAAATTCAGGTGCCTGCATGTTTGTCCCAATGGGGCAAACAGGGTTTTCACAGGCCATTTTAGATCAAGAAAATGGCAGGGGAGTAGTCAAGGCCCCACATACTTGTTAACTGAGCTTTTTTAAAAAAGAAAGCTCTAGACTAGGAATGTGCATCCTGGAAATCTTGAACCAAACATATACCACAAAATGCCTTTTTGAGTGATTCTGTGTATTTACGGAACAAAACAACAGAATCACAATTCTAACTGGAAGGGGGGGCGGGAATTTGGGGTGGAATGTTTCTGGTGGTCTGGAGGAGCTAGTTTTAGAGAAAATGGCATCAAGTCTTCAGGAAATCCACCACCAACCCCAAGGTTTGAAGGGGCTTAGACTACAGGGTCCAATTTTACAGACCCCCTGAACTAGGTGCTCACAGCCCTCCTGGTCTACATTGTTTCTTATGTGAAAAAACACCCTGCTTCCTCCAGGGCAAAGAAGCCAACAGTAGCTAAACAGGAACAGTGTCAAACCTGGTCAACTCCTTCTACTGTTTAAAATGTGACATCAACAAGTCAGCAGCCACAAGACACAACAGACTCACCACTGCTGCAATATTTATTCGGTAGGTTTTGTAGAATAACTCAGAATCCTTCAAATAGAGTGTAGCATAGGCTTGCAAAACTGCTGCGCTCAAGTAGAAGAGAGAAGCTGTTACCTGGTAGAAGGCATCCTGAAAAAGAAATGGCCGAGGATCTTAAGAACACTGCTAGACAAGGCAGTACCAAGGCATTTAAAGCATATTCCAACTGTAGCAGTTTCACATGATATTATGCCCATGACTAAAGGATTCAGAGTACCCTGGCCTGCATGGCCTTGGCTTATCCCAGTCTCATCGGATCTCAGAAACTAAGCAGGGTTGGTCCTGGTTAATACTTGGACAGGAGACCACAGTTGGAAGTCCAGCGTTGCTTGCTACAAGGAAGCAAGCAATGGCAAACCACTAGGGTTGTCACCTCTGGGTTGGGAAATACCTGGAGATCCGAGGGGTGAAGCACGAGGAGGGCAGGGTTGGGGGAGGGGAGGGACCTCAGCAGGGTATCATGCCACGGAGTCTACCTTCCAAAGTAGCCATTTTCTCCAGGGGAACTGATCTTGGTCAGCTGGAGCTCAATTGTAATACTGGGAGATCTCCAGGTGCCCCCTGGAGGTTGGCAACCCTACTAATCACCTCTGTACGTCCTTTCCCTCCCCCTGCCTTGAAAACCCCATGGTGTTGCCATAAATCAGCTACAATTTAACAGCATCAAAAGGTTTCAGACTAGGGTTGCCAATCCCCAGTTGGGGGCAGGGGATCTTCTGGTTTGGGCCCCCCCCCCCGCTTCAGGGCTGACACAAAGGGGGGGGGGGGGCTGCTGGACGCTCCGTTATACTCTATGGAGACCAGTCCCACTAGGGTATAATGGAGAATCAATCTGTGGGTATCTGGGGCTCTGGGAGGGCTGTTTTATGAGGCAGAGGCACCAAATTTTCGGCATAGCTGGTGGTCACTCTCCTGAAAACAAACCCCATGTTTCAAAAAGATTGGACCAGAGGGTCCAATTCTATGAGCCCCAAAAGAAGGTACCCCATCCTCCATTATTTCCAATGGAGGGAAAGCATTTAACAGGAATGCTTTTAAAAGGAATTCTTAAATGTGACAGCTAGAACTCCCTTCCAGCTTGTTAGCCTCACCTGGCAACCCTAGTGACATCACAAAACTGATGTCACATCCTTGCTCCTGCCTCCACCCCCAAAATCTCCTGGCTCCACCCCTAAAGTCCCCAGATATTTCTTGAGTCAGACCTGGCAACTCTATTTCAGACAGTGAACTTTTTCAGTGCAGAGGCTTTTTAGTTTTATGGAAGGACTGCCAGCTCTCAGAAGCACCTGCCCCTGAGGCATGTTTGTGAGTGTTCCTTATCTAAGCAGTGGATCCTGCAGTGATTCAGCAGGCAGCTTCCTCTGTGGATAAGTCCTCTGGTATAATGGAGCCTTTTATTTCTCACAACATATTTCTCAGTTTTGAATATTTCTATCCCATCTCTTCAAAAACCTCACCTGAGACATCGAGCAATAACAACAAAAGCCACATACTACACTTACTATGGGGGGGGGAGTCCTGGTTATTTTGCTAATTATTGCTTTACTATGGAGAAGTATTATTTTACTACTGAGACCATCTGGCGTAGTATTAGAGTCTCAGACTAGGAGCTGGGAGAATCAGTTTCAAATCCCTACTCCATGTGTTGAGAAAAGAGACTAATATTTGCTGTTTATGGATCTATATCTGCTGACACACACAAACTTTACATGAACTGTGCATATATCCCCATAGGCTTCAGGGAAAGCTGCTTGAATCACCTGTTGTGAGAGGTTTCACATAGAAGGTATTTAAGGCTCCTAGCCTTAGGGAAAGGGAAGCACATTTCGCCATTGTTAGCAGAGACCACAGCTTAAAAAGACAAGCAATCCCCCATTACTGAAGGACTGGATGTCACACAATACACGGATCCGATCTACATCTGAATTGCCATTTCCTGATAGATGTTGCTTTGATTGCCTGGGAAAGCCGGTATCTATCTGCACTTCAAGGAGATGTCTTGACGCTGAGAATTCACACCTGACCAGATGGTTTGTCCTGAGTTAGATCTAGTATTTCAATATTGACCCAACCTTTAAAGGTTCTGCCCCTTACTACACGCACCAATAAGATGTAGGGATGGGACGGACTTACAGGTGAGTGGACCCCAGCATGGCAAGGTTGCCAACCACCCCAAATATTCACCTATAAAAGCTAGGGACCATGTGCAGGGTCCTTTGCTAGCCACATTCCCCTTCATCATCCTCTGTCTACTTTTATCCCCTAAAGTCCAGCTTACTATCAAACAACCCTTTTGTCTATTCTTGATCTCTTGGACTGCAGCCAAAGAGGTCCACATTTTGCTGGCTGGTTCTGGCAAGTGTGAATTAGAAATATCCCTAGGTACTATTTTTTTTTACCCCTCAATTCTTCATTGCAACAGACAAGGCTTCAGGAAAGATAAGTATAAACCGATACCTACCTACCTCCTAAGTAAAAGGGAATTATTTTTCTATTGCTGTAATCCTAAGGTAACTTGATTGTATGTGTATATGATACTGTTTTTGTGTGTATGTGATTTTGATACTCTTTAGTTAAAAGACAAATTGTTTGAAATCCACCAGTCTCGTCTCTCTCACTGGGACATTCTTGGGGTGAACAGAACCTCCGTAAACTTTGGCGGGAACCCTTATCAAATTTAGTTTGCCATCTGTTATAGATAAAGCAGATCCGCTAACACATGGTAACTTGCTGGATGACCTCACAGGGTTGTTGTGAGGGAAAATGGAGGAGAAAACAATGGATGAAGTAAATACAAATCTGATTAATGTTGGAATTTTATCAATGGTTTTAAACAGAGGACAGGCTGTAGAGAGGGCATTTATACATTAACAGTTCTCTGAAATACCAGTGCTGCCATCTTGAAAACAGTGCAAATTATTCTAAGTATCTATGCATCAGACTATTGTTGTAAGGATACCCACTGGGCACACAGTTTGGGGATTCAGTTGGTAGTTTACCATTGTGCTCACATCTTTTCCTCTTTCACGTTCACATGTATACCCACATCTTTCAGTAACCGTATGGCTGAACCAGCTCTGTTTGCTGTACTTTGCTAAAGCAGCGTATGTGGCATCGTACATCTGCAAGCCATTCCGTTAGAGGTGAACATCCTCCCAACCTCCAAAACAGTAGTCAAGACACAAAACAGTTGTGTGGCATGCAAGAGGAGTCACTGCAGGACAAAGCAGTTCATTTGGGAAGGTTTGCAAAAGAGGTCAGCTGGATCAGGCCCCTTTGAAAGGGACTTAATTCTTTTCTTTTTTGCCATGAAGACATAGCTGGCTTGCAGCCGCCCCACAGGGTTTTCAAGGAAAGAGATGTTTGGTGGTGGTTTGCCATTGCCTGCCTCTGCATAGTGACCCTGCTATTCCTTGGTGGTGACATGATCAGGCTAGGCGGGGGTATCCAGGCCAGGGCACCAAGAATCCTATGACAGCAGCAGAACTGGAAGCTGGCCCTGCCGCTCCAGGAGTTCATAGGGATCTGGATTGCCAAATGAAACCCAGTAGGCAATATAACTTCTGAAGAGCCTTGAAGACAACAATATTATGATTTTTTTTACAGTTTATAGTTGATACTGTTAATTGATTTAAGCTTTATAACATTGATATTGTATTTTAAACTTTATTAGGTAAGCTGTTTTGACTGTTCTGGAGAGGCATGGTAAAAAAATTCAGATAAATAAAGCATTAACTAGCTGGAAGCTATTTATTGAGCAGATGCCTAATAAACAGAAGACAGCTGACAGCACAATCCTGCATCAGAGTCCATGTTAACTCAGCAACTTGGATCATTTGTGCCAGTGTATTCCTCAAATACATTACTGGAAGCCAGGGCTGTTTGCTCTAGCCTCACCCATGGCCCTCTGGGGCAGCATAAAGAGAGCAACAAATACATTACTGGAAGCCAGGGCTGTTTTCTCTGCTTTAGCCTCACCCATGGCCCTCTGGGATGGCATAAAGAGAGCAGCACTGCTGGCAGCAAGCAGAGCTGTGGCTCCCACCTTCTTGGGGACTGCCTGTCTGTCCAGGCTTGGATGACTCCTCTGTGGTGGTGGTGGGGAACTACCCTCCAAGCTTCCAGGCACCTGTTCTGCTTTGTTGTACAAGGTGGAATTATTTAGGAGAGCTTTCTGGGCTGATGGCCCTGTTATTATTGGCAACAGCATCACCAGTTGCAAGCTTTAAGGATCTATTTTGTTTGTTAGTTGTTTGTCCACGTGTCTTACAGTAACCTGTCTAAAATATGTAACAGGCCTCCATCCACATATTGTTGGATATTGTGCTACTGTTGCCCTATAGCAACCCTTTCAGTGCAGACAAGACAGACTAGTTGCAAATGATTGCTATAGTGCAAGGTGTGGATGCAGGTCACAGATTTGGCATTTACAGGGTACGGTAGTGGGTTGCCCCAGCTCCAGGAACCCGATTACATTAAACAGCTATGCAAGCCCTACTTTGACTCCTCCCATCATCCTGTAGCTGGGCTTGCCTCCCAGACAGAATAAGCTGTGGTTCCCTGGTAGAGCCCATCCTTTGTGTGTAGGGTGTCTCTGGTAGCAGATGCCACAAAGGTCATTTTTCTGCCAGAGAGACTGGAAAGCTGTTACTAGGCAGAGCTGAACAGTGGTCTGACTTCATAGAAAGCCATTTGAAATGTTCATATCCAAAGACGTTTGCTCTGCTGATGTTTTTATGGTTGTCTTTCTTTCACTCATCACATCAGTTGGTCGGGATTGTGTCATGCCTAGCACTTGGGGAAGTGGGTTAACTGAGTGACACTTCCAATCTCTTCCGAGACTTACCACAGCGACCCAAGCAGAATTTTCTCCGTGAGCTCCACAGAAATAGAGGAACAGAAGCAACGTTGACAGTACAAAGCAATAAACAGAGACAAACATCACCCAGCCTTGAATAATCGGGAAGTACACTTTTGCAGATGCCACCAGAATCCAGACGAGGCCACCAAAAACCTGCAAGAAAGCATAAGCAGAGTCTGTTGAGAAGGAAATGTCATGGAGACAGAACCAGAGGCATTTTGGAACACCACCCCTAAGCAAGAACAATTAGAGGTGGCCATAAATGCAACTAAAACTGTTATTGGACAGTGCTGGTAACCTGACTTTTACATTCAGGGAGTTTATTGCTATCGTGAACAGCATGATGCACAATACAGCTGAGGCTTAGAATATAAAACCCCAAGTCTTCAAAGCTTTCATCATAGTTGGTGATGCATCCACTCGATGATGGTTTTCTGTGTTCCTTCTGTTGTGGCTATGAATGAAGATGCATTTACAGTGGCAGCAGTGGCCACATGACGCCCCCCACACACACACAGCCGCCATTTGCCCCTGCACCACTGGAGGGGTTTGAAAAAATGATCACTGACATATTGCTATACATTAAGCTACAACAATATGCCAGTTACCAGTTCTTCTAAGCTATAGCAATACATCAATTGCCAAATGTAAAATTTAAAGCTTAAAATTGGCAATTGACATACTGCTGTAGCTTAAATATGTAGTGATACGTCAGCTACCAATTTTTTTAAAGTCCAAAAAAGCTTTCCAGTGGCGGAGGACAGCCACAAGGAGATGGGGCACAGGCCAGGGTTAATGTGGGCAGAACCTTAAAAAGTGGGTACTTTCCCATCCACATCACATGCAATGCCACTCAAAAGATCATACCAACCCAGGTTTGAGAAAGATCAAAGCAAAGCCGGGGAAAACATGGAAAGTGGACAATATTGGGTGGATACTCCAAAAAGGGGGGGGGGAGCTCTCCAGTTTAGACATGAAATAGGAGGGGGAAACCTCCATGTAGAAGCAACCTGGGGAGTCAATCAAAGCAGCATCATATAAACATGGGAAGTTGCCTTCGGCTGAGTCAGGCCCTGTCAGGGCCAGGCATGCCTGGACTTGCCCAGGCACAAACACCACTAGCTTCATGCCAAAAGACAATGGGCCAGTAGGATCCTAGCCAGGCCCAATGAAAGGGTTAGGTCCCAGGCCAAAAGGCCAATAGGTCTCTTGGGCATTGTAAATAGCCTATCGGGAGTGGGGGGGGTGTTTGGTGGTGGGTTTCTCTGAGGGAATATAAGCCAGCCTGCGAGCCGGTTAAGGTGTCTTTGTTCCTGACTAAATAAAGGTATGCTTAGCTGAAATCACTCTCTGTATGCATACTTTTCAGCCAGTATAACCTACTCTGATTGGCAACAGCTTTCCAGGGTAGAAGTCTTTCACATCACCTACTACCAGGTTCTTTTAACTGGAGATGCTGGGGATTGAACCTGGGACCTTTTTCTCTGCTACTGAGACACTGCCCCTCCCTAATCAATCCAATTACTGAATGACTGAGTTACTGGATGCCATGTATATGGCCATACAGTAGGGTTGCCAGGTCCCTCTTGGCAACCCGCAGGGGATGGGGGGGGGACTTATGAAGAAAAAGGGGAAATCCTACAAAGTGATGTCATCATGCCAGCAACATCCAGGCGACACGCTGGTATTTGGGCCAAAACTCTATGGTAACACTGGCTTCTATTGTGAGTTCTGCCCAAATACCAGAGCATTATCCGGAGCCAGTGTTCCCACTAAGCTGAGTTAGTGTGAGCTAGCTCACAGTTTTTAGCCTCCGGCTCACAGATTTTTGTCTTAGCTCAGGAAGGAGGGCTCCAGAGCAAACTAACATATGTAGTAGGCAAATCGCTTGCTCACAACTTTAACAACAGTAGCTCACCAAGTAGAATTTTTGCTCACAAGACTCCACAGTTTAGAGGGAACACTGGTCCGGACGTCACCGGCATGATGACATCACTTCTGTGCACTGCCAACGATGAGACCTAGGTCTTTTCTTTCCTCCTAGCCCGCCAGCTGATCGACAGCTGGGCTGGGGTAGGGCCTGGCCACAGGGGACCCCTGCCTCCACTGGGGGATCTGGCCACCCTAGCATGCAGCAAACTGGCCTATTAGGACAGCCGACTTTCTGTCTGCCAGACTTTTTTTTTTTTTTAAAGGCATATTTCAATCTGAGTCAAGTGAAGGTGACTTTGAGCTGGAGCCAAAATCTTGCCCAGCCTGCATCACAGCCTCAGGACAGCTTCCTATTTCAAAGCAGTTTCTCAGCTGCAATGCTCCTTAAATCCATGCTGGCAATCCTTGTCCAAGTATAACCCTCTTTCTCTTCCTTCCTTTCTGAAACTCTGCAGATAGAAGCAGGCTAAGAATGCTGTCATTTTGCATACAGCAACCTGTCTCCAGACTAGGTAAAACATGACACTTAACTGGGCAAAAATTAACTCCTAGACTAGCAGTGGAAAGGAAGCAAAGTCTCATAAATATACAAGGCAGCAATCACAAAAGGGAGGGGGGGGAATGAAATCCAGCACACAAGATAAATCAAAGAGGGAATGTCAACATTCAATCCACAATCGTATTTTCCATTTCCCTTTGTATGCAACACCAGCCCCTGATTTTCAAAAAGATGGATCTCTTTAATTTAAACCATTAAGTACCTGGGAAATGTTCAGGGGATTGGTTCTGAAAATAGATAAAGATAATAAAAATGCTGATCAAACATTCATTCCCTTATCTACGTGCCATGCTGGGCAGAAATGTAAACTCCACACCAGGTTGTAAAGCACATTGATAGAGACCGGTGCTCGAGTGCTTGTACACTTTTGCTGCAGTTTGTTTTTATTCATTTAAACAGAAACCTGCCATGCCCCACGGCTGCACCTTCTCTTCCTCAAAAAATAGTTACGTGTGAATACACATTGACTGAGGACTTGGACATAAACATGGAATCAGCAGTGAGCCAACAGAGTTTAGAAATTTTTGTACTGCCTTTCTGATGTTCAAGGCAGGTTACAAATATCAACAAATGCTAAACAGGCAATAATGAAATAAATCTCATATTAAAAAGACAGCATATCACAGCATAAAAACAGACCAGCCGTGTCAAATGGAAGTTTCAGTGAAAAGACAAACCTTTCATGCAGTCTGCAAAAAGTTTAATACAAGTTTTCTGTCACTTGTTCCAGGAGTCCGTTCCAGAGAACAGGAGCCATAATTCAGAAAGACCTGCGTCTGACCAGCTTTGATTTTTACCTGCTGGGCAGAGGGCACCACAAAGACTGCCTGTTGACCAGGAATGTAGGTTCATATGGAGAAAGGCTGCCTTCAGGGATGTGGGCCCCAGACAACCAAAGACAACAGTTAACACCAGCACTTTGAATTGAGCACACAAGCAAATTGCCAGTCAGTAGGGATGCCAGCCTCCAGGTGGGGCCTGGGGATCTCTTGGAATTACAGCTCATCTCCAGGGTACAGAGATCAGTTCCCCTGGAGAAAATGGATACTGTGGAGGGTGGACTCTATGCATTGTGCCCTACTGAGGTCCCTGTCCACCCCAGGCTCCATCCCCAGATCACCAGACGTTTCCCAACCTTGAACTGGCAACTCTACCCACACAGACCCATCAGTGGCCAGGGGGACCTCTCAACCCTACTAGCTACTGCATCTGGATATGACCATGTCACCCAGCAGTGACAGAAGATAGGAAGCTGCACTGCAACTCTGATGTTGCAAAGTGGAACTACCCTTGCCTGAAGTTCCAGTCATCTTCAGTTACTGTAACATGGACAACTGTTTAGAAGGAAGAAGGCCCAAGACATTGGTGAAATGCACACTTAGTCACAGCTCCAACCTCCTTCTCCAAAACCAGGACAGAGTCTAGGAGTCATTCTAGGTTCTCAACATGAGAAGGACCCACCCATCATGGGTAAAGCATTTTCTTACAAAACCCCAGCACCACCTGTCAGCTATGTTGCCATGATGTTTACATCTGACTTCTCACAAACAGACCTGTTAAAGAAAAGTAATAAAAAATAGTTAAGTTTAGAAGAAACTTGTGCCTTACACCTAACCTGTGCCTATGCGGCTTATGAAATGCTGGTTTACTTAGTCTGTTATTATATTCTAATGTAATGCATTGTTAAAATCTCAATAAAAAATATTGGGGGAAAAAATGTTTACGGGCAAGAGTGCATCTGCTTGACCTGTGTACCAACTGCTGTGGCATTCCTTTGTTCTCTATTATCTCTGACCTTGTAAACTGTCTGTGTAGTGTCTTCCCGTCAATTACCTGTGGGATTAGTTTCGATTCCCAGTTTTGGCTTTAACGGCCTAGGGCCCCATGCTCCTGCGCGCGGGAGTCAGGCCGATTGGCCTGGGATGGGGGTACATATGAATACCCTATATCCCATTATGCTTGTAGGAACGTAGCCATTCCTAACAGCTATGATGTTACTGCCTCTGTAGCTCTTACAATAAAGTATAACCTTATGATAAACGTGTACTCCTTTGTTTTGCTGTGGAACCTGACACCACCTTGATCTTGCTTAAATTCAATTCCAGTTTTGTTTTGGGTTGGGTGACCTTCAAGAGTCATTTCATACATGATCATAAGACCTGGCCAAAAACGCAAGCCAAAAGTCCCCTACCATTATTCGTGGCAATTGACACACCCGTATTGCTTGCCAAGTTATTCCTTGCCAGAGTTGTTCTTTTCACCAAAAAGATTCAGATACTATCAGACCTGTTCTTTTTAATCAGAGCTGGGTATTTGTTTGTTTTGTGCATACTTCAGAGCACAGCACTAGACAGAATGATTAGAGCACACTGGTTTAGCATTCACTGCACAATTCCAGCCATTCCATCACTGCTGCCAGAATACTAATTCCTTTGATTCACCTGTTGCTGGCTTTGCATTCAAGTGGATCATATCTGATGGGGTCTACCTGTTTTTTACAGGGCAATTCCTGGCACTTCAGATGGAACCCAGAAAGGAAGGGCAAAATTATACATTATGGAGTCCTGTTTTTTATTTTTGTTTTAAATGCCATGCAACAGCTGATGCTATACTTTGCATTGAACCAGGAGATGGGGGGAAGGGGATTATTAACCCTTTCCAC